TGCAGCTACTGTGGAAAACAGTATGGCATTTCCTCAAAAAATTAAAAATGGAACTTCCATTAGACCCAGTAATCCCACTTCTAGGAATATATCCCAAGAAAACAGAAACACCAATCAGAAGGATATATGCACCCCTATGTTCATGGCAGCACAATTTACAATAGCTAAGATTTGGAAACAGCCTAAGTGCCCATCAGCAGATGAGTGGATTAAAAAACTGTAGTACATCTACACAATGGAATACTACACTGCTGTAAAAAGGAAGGAACTCCTTCCATTTGCAACAGCATGGATGGAGCATTATGCTAAGCGAAATAAGTCAGTTAGAGAAAGCTAAGTATCACATGATCTCACTCATTTGTGGAATATATTGAACAATATAAACTGATGAACAAAAACAGATCCAGAGACAGAGAAGCATCGATCAGACTGTCAAACCTTAGAGGGAAGGTAGGAGAGGGTAGGGATAAGGGGGAGAGATCAACCAAAGGACTTGTATGCATGCATATAAGCATAACCAATGGACATAGACACCAGGGGTGTGAGTGCATGAGCGGGGAGGTGCAGGGAGGGTAAAGGGGGGGGGGTAAGGACACATATGTAATAACTTAATCAATAAAGAAAAAAATTAATTAATTAAAAAATTTTTTCACACCCAGATCCAGACTTTGCTCCCTGAGCCAAGATGCTATAAGAGCTTCCAGCATTAGCCACAGGTTTCGCCAAATCAAATCCATCCTCATATCCAGCTCAGTTCTCCAAGCCCAGGATGGTCCCCTTCCCTGCTTTGAGCTTCAGTTGAAGCTACCATAGCCCACACTGATCTTCCCAACTTTAAATCTTGAGGCAGAAAGTAGTCCAGTGTTGCTTTACACTCTGGAAACCCTGGGCTACTGATGCAAAGACTCACCTTCTCCCTAGTGATTACCTTTGATTTATTATTTATTTATTTATTTAATCCTCACCCGAGGATATTTTTCCATTGATTTTTAATTTTATTTATTTAGTAATATATACATTACTAAATACATATTTACTTTTCTATTTATTTTTTTAGAGAGAGTGGAAGGGAGGGGGAGAGACAGAAACATCAATGTGAGAGAGACGCATCAATTGGTTGCCTTCCACACACATCCCGACCAGGGCTGGGGATCTAGCCTGCAACCAAGGTATGAGATATGTGCCCTTGACCAGAATCGAACCTAGAGCCCTGCAGTCTGCCGACTGAGGCTCTATCCACTGAGCCAGAACAGATAGGGCCCTAGTGATTAGCTCTGTATACCAGGTGTCCCAGGAGAATAGAAACAGGTTACTAACACTCAGAGTAAATAACTGCCTCCTCGTCCAGGGACACCAACTAAGAGAGCACCTCTAGTAGATTTCTTGAAACTAAGACAAAGAACATCTTTTCATTAAAAAAAAAAAAAAAGTGCAGCCCTGCTGGTGTCGCTCAGTGGTTGAGCACTGACCTATGAACCAGGAGGTCACGGTTCAATTCCCAGTCAGGGCACATTTCGAGTTGTGGGCTCGATCCTCAGTAGAGGACATGCAGGAGGCAGCTGATCAATGATTCTCTCTCATCATTGATGTTTCTATCTCTCCCTCTCCCTCTCCCTCTCCTCTGAAACCATAAAAAATATATTAAAAATAATAAAATATTTAAAAGTGCACTTTGTTATATAAAGGATGATGTGAAGGAAATCATCATCTAAATAAATATAAATGGCATGAAATAGGTTTCCCTCGGTACAGTTTCCTGAGGTACCGTCCCAGTAAGAGCTCTGCTTGCATAGTCGTTACTGAGCCCCCCTGGGTGCCCATTTATCTCTCTTTCCCAGAGCTGCTCTCATCATCCACTGTGCATTCTTCCTGAAAATGCTCCAAAACACAATCCTCCATTGTGCTTCCAAGTTTTCAGACCCTTCATTACCCTCTGATTAGTTAATCTTTCATTTAACAGATACTTATTGAGCACCTCCTACATATTGTAGACTGAATCAGCCATGAGTAAGAGGGAGAAGGTCCCTGCCCTCACATGGCTTACATTCTAGCAGAGATCTAGAGGCCTGAGGCCAGAACAGATTAAGCTGGGACAGCAAGGATTCTAATGCCTACCTCCAGAGAATTAAAGGAGGTGATACCCATAAAGCACCCAATTTGAGCTTAACTCATCGTGGGAACTCAACATGTATTTCTTTCCCTCTTACTATTTGGAGGATAGCATTGCCTTCCCATTGTTTTTTGTTTGTTTGTTTGTTGTTTTTAGGATTTCAAGCATTTTTGAGCTGTAATAAATATAGGGAATGAGGGTAAAATGAACAAATGTGAAGCAAGTTACAGAGTTGTTGGAATATTAATGTCTCACATTTTCTCCCAGGTGTTCAATGAAAAGAGAAACTGTTGTGTTGCTGCTCAATCTTTCTGGAAACCAATTTAATAAAATGCATCAAGCATCTTAAACATGCCATCTCTTGCAAATTATTGCTTTTAAATTTGTAAGTAGCAAACATTTTCTGTGCACCTCTGTGCTAGGTCCTGTTTTAGGGGGTGTGAACAAGACAGATAAGGTCTTAACTCTTATGAAGTTCACATTTTAGAGAAAAGAGCATGTAATACATAAATAGACACTAATATTAAACAATACGTGCTAGGCAGGACACAAAATAAAACAGTGGTATGCTAAAGAGACTGGGAGGTGGAAAACAAACCAGATTGATGGTCAGGGAAGCGCTCCCTGAGGAGGTGACAACTGAGCTGAGACCCAAATAACAGGAGCTCCCCACCCCCTGGCATCCCACCATATGCCTGGGGGAGGGTATTCATCCAGAGGAAGAGCAGGAGCTAAGTCTTAGGTAGGAGGTGGTGAAGCTGAGAAGCAGAAGGACCCCGGGGCTGAGGCAGAAGAGCCAGGGCATACAGTGGAAATGAGCTAGAGAGGTCTGCAGGCCAGGTACATCAGAGTAGGACTTTGGGTTGTCCAAGGGCGATGGGAAAGCAGTGGAAGATTTTAAGTAAGATAGTGCCAGGATTTAGTTTAGAGTTTAGAAAGCTCATTGGCTGTGTAGAAATTAGATTGTTCAGGTTCAAGAGTGGAAACTCACCAGGAAGCTGTGGCAGTTCTGTAGGGAGAGAGCACAGTGATAGTGTAAGTGGAGAGAATGACAGATTAGTAATATTTTGGAGGTCGAGCTGAGAAAACTTGCTGATGAATTGAATAGTGGAGGAGAGGAAAGAGGAATAAGGGGTGACTATGTTTATGGTTGAACAACTGGGTCATTATAGTAACAATGAGATGGGACAAATTAGGGGAAGAATGGTTTGGGGTGGGATTACGAGCTCTGTGGGATCGCTTTTAGTTTAAGATAGAATATAGGTTATGGAGCCAGACTACCTGGTTTCTAATCCTTTTCTAGATTGTTGAATGATTTTGGACAAACTACCTAACCCTTTGTGCCTCAGTTTCTTTATCTAAAGAGGTTTTGTGAGGGTGACGTGAGTTATTACAGATAGATTAATGCCTACATTCTTATTCACTCAGCAGGCATTTAGTATCTAGGCACTAAATTCTGAGCATATAGCAAAGAGCAAATCAGACAAAATCACTGCTCTCGTGGAATTCATATTTTGGTTAGGGGAGGGGACACAAACGTAGTGTTAAAGTATTTGGTATGTTGGATGAAAATAAGTACTAAGGAGAAAAATAGAGCAGGGAAAAATGGTAGTGAGGAGTGGGGTGAATTGCAGTTTAAAATAGGAGGCCTTACTATGGTAGTTGAGGAAAGATCTCAAAGGAGGGAGGGTGCCAGCCATGTGGACATGGGGAGGTAGTGGGGAGAGTGTGCCCGACAGGGGCAAGAGCAAGTTCAAAAGTCCTCAGGGGGAAGTTTCCAGAAACAACAAGAAAGGTGAATCTGAGTGACAGGAGGATAAGGGGGTAAATCGGAGGGCTCTGAAGGCCACAGGGAGGACCATGGCTATCATTGTGAGCCCCGAGGGGTCACTGGAGGTGGTGAGCAGATCAGTGACATGATCTGACTGACATTTAAAAACATCTCTCTAGCCTGGCTGGTGTGGCTCAGTGGTTGAACGTCAACCTATGAACCAGGAGGTCACAGGTCGATTCCTGGTCAGGGCACACGTAAGGGTTGTGGGCTCAATCCCCAGTAGGAGGCGTGCAGGAGGCAGCCAATTGATGATTCTCTCTCATCATTGATGTTTCTATCTCCCTCTCTCTTTTTTAAAAAAATATATTTTATTGATTTTTTTACAGAGAGGAAGGGAGAGGAATAGTTAGAAACATCGATCAGCTGCGTCCTGCACACGCTCTACTGGGGATGTGCCTACAACCAAGGTACATGCCCTTGACCAGAATCGAACCTGGGACCCTTGAGTCCACAGGCCAATGCTCTATCCACTGAGCCAAACCAGCTAGGTCTCCCTCTCTCTTCCTCTCTGATATCAATAAAGATATATTTAAACAACAACAAAACACAAAGAAACAAAACATATCTCTGGCTGCCAAATTGAGAATAGACAGGGCAGGGGAGGGCTACTGAGAGGGCTGGTGCTTCACTCCGAGTGAGGGAGGACTAGGATGGGGCAGTACCAGTAGAGAAAATTTGGTAACAAATAATACAAAGAATTCAATATAGAGAGCATCAGATGGTAATACGTGCTATGCAGAAAAACAAAGAAAAAAGAGGAATATGTGCTATGGAGGAAAATAAAGCAAGAGGGGTATAGAGAGCATGGGGGATGTTACAACTTTAATTTTTAGTTATAAGATAAAGTTTATTTAGAAAGTTGCAGAGATAGTAGAAGTGAGCCAGCTGGGCTTCTGGGACAAGTTACAGCAGCAAAAGAAGGGCCCTTGGAGCTTAGGAGAGAGAAAGGCAAAGGTAATGTGCGCCTGAGGGAAGAAGGGGAAGGGAAAGTGCAGGCATGCTCCCGAGAGGAAAGGCGGGAAAGCCAGCGAGGACGTTGCAGCTTCAGGATGGGATGGTGGGGAAGACCTCACCAAGATGGTGGAGAAGAGGGGGCAAACCACGGAGCTGTCTGGGGAAGAACTTGTCAGGCCAAGTGCTGAGTCCTGCAAAGGCCCTAGAGTGGGAACATGCTTGGCACCGTGGGAAGGAAGGAGCAGAGGATTGACACAATCAAAATCATCTGCTCATTCTGGCTGCTGTGTGAAGAGCAGAGTGTCAAAGGGCAAGAGTGGGTGTGGGGATACGATTACGAAGCAGAGGCAGCGATCCCGGTGAGATAAGAAGGCAGCTGGGCAGTACGGCAGCTGTAGAGGCGACGAGGAACAGTCAGATTCTGGACACGTGGGCATGGGAGAGAGGCCCAACAAGATTGGCTGACAGACTGAATGTGGGATGTGAGAGAGAGAAAGGAGTCAAGGGTGACTCCAAGGTAGTGGGCCCAAGAAACTGGAAAGATAGAGCTGCCATTTATTGACATAGGGGCGGCTGCAGGAGGGGAGGTCAGGAGTTTGATCTTAGAGTTGTTTTGCTTGGGGCCTTCTATGAAACACACTGTAGAGATGTTGAGGAGGCCGAAAAATTTACGAGTTTGAGGTTCAGTGAAAACAATTTTTGGAGTTAGTGGTCCTTAAAACCACAAGACCAGTAGAACTCACCTAGGCAGAGTGGAACTGGAGGAGCGAGAGCCTGGGGTGGAGGCTGGACTCACTCCAACACCCCGAGGCTGAGCAGAGCCCAGGAGACTGAGCAGGGCAGCCTCGCTCAGGAGGCCCCGGAGGGCGGCTGCAAATGAAGACTCTCATCCAGTCTTTACCCAGGACGTCAACCACTGTTTAACGCTGGGAGAAAGTGCTCATCAGAGGTGACTTGGGGGGAAAGCAGCATATGAAACACAACGTTAATAGTTCTTTACATGGTGGTGGTTGAAGACTATTACTTTCTTCTTTACAATTTTCAATATTTTCTTAATTTTCAACTCTGGACATGTATTACTTGTATACTAATGCTTAGACAAGGATATTTGAAAATCAACAGTGGAAAGGAGCTTTTCTGCTCAGTGAGTTCTCCAGCCTATTTCTACTCAAGCGTGTGCATACAAAAGGGAACTCAGGTCCTTCTCTTCCCAGTGGGTGCCGTGGAAGGGGCATTCCCGGGCCTTCAGGAGGGATTTGGCCGTAGAAGCACCCTGGGGTGGGGGGAGATTGGTCAGATAAGCACTGGAGGCCCAATCTGAACAGCTGACCTGCCAGCCATGCTTCTCAGAGCCAGGGGCGCCAGAAATGCCGCGGGTGTCCCTGGGACAGACAGTAGGTTCACACTGCTTGGCCCAGCATGGATGGACAGATGGACAGAACAGCACTTCATTAAAAAAAGGTTTATTAGTTTCTGTGCTGTCCAGTGCAAGTGAAGATAGGCCCCCTCCCCGGCCTCCCCGCCCGAGCCCCTGGGGAGCCGCTCTACAGCAGACTCCTGTCTTGAGGCAGTGTCCTTGTTCATCTGACTCCAGTCCCGTGGCTCCTGGCCCAGGGCTAAGCCCCACCTCGAGAAGCCATAGGAATAGTTTCTCCTGAGCGACTGCTGCCTCCGGCATCTGAGAAGACACCCCGGCTGCCGGAGGCTGGGGCCACGTCCACCTGGATGACACCGTGCACCTGCGAGAGCTGTGGGCTGTCCAAGCTGGCGATGAGCTGGCGGGGCCCTGGTCGCACAGGCACGAACGTCTGGCGCAGCGTCACTGTCTCGTTGCCCCCAATGTCCCTGTGGGCAGAGACAGGGTTATGGGCCTGGGGTGACTGGGGGCGGAGTGGGGAGGAAGGACTGGCGAGGCAGCCAGGAAGGAAGGAGCAGAAGGTGGAGCCCTTCAGGCACAACAGGGATCCCCACACCCAGGACCAGGACAAAGCCTGAGTCCCAAGGCCACCTCCACACAGATCAGCAGTCACCCACACAGCTGCCCGAGTTAGAAATGTCCCAGTCATCCCGGACTCCTCCTTCCCTCCCACAGACACCTGGGCAAAACTCTTGCACCGCCTCCCCCTCATCTCCATTGCCAGCTGCTGCCTAACCAGACCATCCCCGCCCCACATGGGGTTTCTGAGACCAAGGACACTTCAAATGGAGACTTTGGGGCTCAACGCAGTCTTGCCAAATACTTTCAGGTTTGCCAAGGAAGAAAGTGGAGGAAAAGTAATTATCTTCTGCCACAATCATCTTTCCAAAGGAGCACTTTAATCCCCAAAACATTGGGAAAATGTTATCTCAGAAAAAAAGGGAAATCTTTCCCAAGAACATACATGTTTGTGTGTATGTATGTGCAACACACACACACACACACACACACACACACACACACACTACAGTGCTTTTATTTTCTCCCTTCTTAATGGATCTCTGAAAATCTATTCCCAGACCACACCTCTGAGAATCAGTTTCACCAACCTTCTAGCTGGCCTTCTTGCCTTTCATCTCATTTTT